AAACTTGAAAATGAACTGAATGTGAAAGTGTGCTCACCACTTTTCCGGCCAAAGGATCATAAAACCGCTCAAGGAGCTGGACCACCGTGCTCTTCCCGCAGCCGCTGCTTCCCACCAGGGCCAGCGTCTGGCCTTTCTTCACCTCCAGGCTCAGCCCCTGAAGCACGGGGATGTCTGGTCGAGTGGGATAGTTGAACACGACTTCATTAAATGTCACATTTCCTTCCAATGTATTCTAAAATCAGAACAATATCAATAAATTGGATTGCTGTAATCCTGGAAATATATTGTATAGCCAACCCCTCTACCACCAGGTATCAGAAGGTAGTGAGCTTATATTCCAACTGGGTTTCATTTGTAACTGCTAGAATTTAATAAAAAAGATCTCAAAGAGTCAGTGCTTTTATAGCATGTATTGTTAATACAACACGTATGTGGTAACTCAATCTGTTCCCTAGGAATAATCTACATATAATAAAACCTGATTAACAGGGTGTACTTGTAAAATGGGCAGTATCCCTATCTTCCTGTAACTTTATCATACAAAAGTACTGGATGTTAATACATATGAACATTTACTAAAATGAACCCATGATCTAGAAAGTTTTATTTTATCATCAGCAAATTCAAAATAGCACAGATTTTATTCAATTTCCTCTTAGAATACTTTCATTAGTTAGGAGCAGATCATATAATGAAAACATCAAACTCACCAGCTTCAGGCCTTCTGTACTATAGCTGTCAATCACGGGGACTTTTTCAATGATCATGATGATGTGGGATGCTGACACTTTGGCTTTGGCATAATCAGGAGCAAAGGAACTGACCTGCCCCACTGCCATGGCACCAAAGACAACAGCTGAAAACACCCTGTAAAAAACAACAGCTGAAAATACCCTGTGCTAAGAATTACAACTGCAACACTTGAAAGTTGACACTTCTACAGCCAGAAAGCATTGCATCAAAAAATTATAAAACAGAAGTTAAAAAATAAAACAAAACAAACAGTTTTCTTTATATGTGTAAGTGGAACAGATCGACTAAAATGACCCCATTTTTCATCTCTCTCTATGTGCTCACCTTCTTGCAGTGTGACTTTATAGCGCCTCCATTTAAGAAGTGGAATTTGTTTTACTATCCTTTGAGTCTGGGTTGGTCTTGTGACTTGCTTTGGTCAGCAGGATGTGGAAGGAGTGACCGTTGCCAGTTCCAAGCCTATGACTCAGGGAGCCTTGTATGCTTCTCTCTCTCTCTCTCCCTCCCTCTCTCAAAACTGCCACCACCACAAGCCCAGCTAGCCTGCTAGAGGACAAGGCACAGATGCACAGGAGCTGTGTGGGCTCTGTTATGCCTAATCTATCTAGATCAGCAGAACTGGACAGCTGACCCACAGACTTGTGGACAAAAACAAATGTTCATTATTATATACCACTGTAATGGTTGTTATGCAACAATATTTTGGCAATCAATAATGGATATACGCAGTGATCCTGGAACTATATTGGAGTCTTCAAAAACCTATGAGCTGTAAAGTCAGAGATCCTTATAGACCCAGATATCATGTTGCTCTCAAGATGCATCCACCTTCTTAATCTATGATATGGGAACCGTAGCAGCTTCAAGTTGGGGAGGACTACAGGATATCAAGTCCAGCTCTCAATGTTTATGCCCGGGCACTTCCCCTAAGGTGGCTTCCATCCTCCGTTTTAGGGAGTAGCAAGTTTGATTACGTCTACTGTTAAAAGGTTCTTCAAACTGAAGAAAACTTGATATCCTTGCACAAGACGGCGCTTCAAGTATTGGAATAATGGGAAAAAGAAGAGCAGTTAGAAGGTAAGAGGTGGAGAACTTCAGAAATGACAAAGGAAAGCTAGGTTGGGATTTCTGCCCCATCGCAGGCACAAGGTAGAAAATGTGTTTCTTTGTTAACTCCTTTCACTCCTAACATTCCAGTTGTCTCGTCTTCCTCTGGGCATATTTATCAACGTGTCTTTTTAAACAGTGTGCCCAAAACTGACATAAAACTTGGGAATTCTCCCAGAATAATACCGTGAGTCTACTACTTCCTCTCTTTTGGACTCTATGCCTGTGTTAATATAGCACACAGTGTCTATATCTCTACATATAAAAAAATAAATAAATAACACAGATAATTAATCTTGGGCTTCTTATCATTTAGCCCTGGGATCTTTTCAAAACGGTTTGCTCTCTGAGCCCACAGGTCTCCCCTCTCCTTTANTTCTCAAACATTAGCCTGTGTCAATATTGCCTGGGCTACTAAACAGACGGCTGGACTCTACCTGCGAAGGTTGATTCAGCAGGTCTGGGGTTGGGCCTGAAAACCTGCATTTCCCCCAAGTTCCCAGGTGATGCTGACGTGCTGGTCCACGGCCATTCTTTGGGAACACTGACCTTGACCTTAGTAAAGGGACTGAAGCTATATTTTAAAATGTTCTAGCCTCAGGAAGGGCCAGTTGTCCACAGCTGGGCTAGAAGTTGAAGGAGGGAGGGGACAATGCCTCCTGTCGTGGCAGCAGTTATCCAAAGAGGAGCCTCAGTAAAAGGAAACCTCGGGGAAAAGTTAGGGTCATCTGGTATTGCCAGCCTTCCCTATGAGGAGGCTGCTTTCCCCGCTGGTTTGAGGCTATTGAGCTTTGTTTTTCAGGGTGCACTTCCTTACAATAAAGAATATAACTAGTGATAAATGGGGGAGAAGGATTAGATGCATCAGGTCAAGAGCCACTTCAAAATACAGGACCTCAGGGGCTTAAGAGAGACTGAGAGGTTCTGTTTCTCTAACTTCCTAGGAGGAATTCAGAGGACATCCGTGGGACAATAGCCCAGAGGAGGTTTCGATAATCAACCCTATAAGCAGAGCCTGGGGCCCACGAAACATGTAAAGGTGAGAGATCTACATGGTGCCAAGGTCATTCCAATGGCGCAGCCTATTCAGACAGCCTTCTTCCTGGCATAGGTCCAGTTCCCTGGCCTGACTCCACAGGGAGGTCTGAGGCTTGGGGAAGAGTTCCAGGGAGGCAGAAGGAAGGCTGGGGGAGAAATGGGGACGGAGGCTCATGCTTGCCTCTGTGGGCCCTGGACCGAGACTTAAAAGGGAAGGCCTCCCAGACATATGCACTTTTAGGTCAGGGATAGTCAGTTGGGCGATCAAGTAAACACAACATCGAATGGGGATAGGGAGTGTGGCCAGCTGCTTGTATACAGGCTGTGTGCGTGTGTGTTAGTTGCTCATTTCTCTTCACCTTTGGGAAACCAGCCCTTTAGAAATCAAAATATAAAGGCGATGGAGGCTGCCACGGCCTCCTGGAGAGACTAACTTGGAGAGAGACTTACGTCAGGCAATGTCTCAATGAAGTGGTGGATGTTGGCCTCCTGCGCGGCGCGCACAATCTCTTCCTGTGACACGACCCGGCTGTTGTCTCCGTAGGCAATGTTCTCGGCAATGCTGCAGTCAAACAGGATGGGCTCCTGGGACACGATGCCCAGCTGTGCTCGGAGCCACTGGACATTCAAGTGCTTTATTTCTTCATTGTCAATGAGCTGAAAACAAGAGTTCACAGATCAACTTCAGGGCCAGTACATTTTGAATTTAGCAAAATTAATATTATTTCACACATTAAAATTGCCAAATTACTGTGAGACTACATTTTTGTTGGTGGTGGGTTTTTTGGTTTTTTGTTCTTTAATTAAATAAGGTCATAATCATATGCTTTAAGGAACTGTCATGTTTCTTCTGTTTTCACTCTGGTTTCTGATATATGCAAATGGTAGGCAGAATAAGGCTCCCATACACTCCAAAGATACCCATATTCTACTCCATGACACCTGTGAATATTATGTCACATGGCAAAGGGGAATTAAGAAGGTATAAGGTTGCTCATCAGTTTATCTCAAAATAAAGAGATTATCCTGGATTATTCAGGTGGGCACAAGGTAACCCTAAAGGGCCTAAACTATGGAAGAGGGAGGCAGGAGAGTGAGCATCAGAGTGGAGCAAAAGGAGAAAGTCACTGTTGGCTTTGAAGATGGAAAAAGATCTCTGAGAGCCTCCAGGAAGAACCCAGCCCTCCTGACACCTTGATTTTGGCCCAGTGAGACCCATTTTGGACATCTGACCTCCAGAATTTGTAAGATAATCAATTTGTGTTGTTTTACACCACTAAGTTTGCTGTAACTTGCTACAACAGCCACAGGAAACTAACATAATGGTATGATGCATTTCTGAGATGAATCTTGGCATCCTTATTCTTATGTATCAATTTTTCCTAGGAAAAGTAGCTGAGATTAGATTGGAAAGAAATAACTACTATAACCACATAATGGGCTTGCAGGTCAGGTTTCTGATGTGCCCTGAGTTGGTTAGGATCAGGTTGTTGAGGAATGGGGTTGCAGCAGTTAAATGGAATAGAAGTGAGTGTGAGAGGCTGCTGTACTCTAAGTAGCTGTTGACGTTAGGAAAGTGATTTAATTTCTCTGAGAGTTTCTTTGTGGGTAAAACGGGAATTGTGATAATTCCTAAATTCACAGAATTGAGGATTAAATGTATGGATCCCAGTTAGCACCGTGCTGGGCACAAAGTATGCACTTAAGGACTGTCAGCGATTTGTATCTGTGCGTGTGCTGTACTTGGAAATACAGCAGATGGATAGATGGCTTATGGATGAAAGGATGGATGGACATCCACAATGTTGGCTCAAAGGAGTAGGAAGGAGAGACTGGCTCTTCTCTAATGACTTGGCTCCCTGAATTATGCTGCAGAAGCCCAGGGAGGTGCCCCTTACAGCCTTGCTGATAAAACTCCTTACTCTCTGATGTGGATGTGTCTGCCGTAAAGGTCTACTTAGCAGGGAATCCTGACATTCGTCTACTTAGCAGGGAATCCTGACATTCAAGTAAGAGAGCTGTTCATCCCCTCTGAAGACATGAGTGAAGCGTTTCTAATAGTGGTGACAAGTATATACGGAGCCACAATATGCTCTCTGTACCCTGTGTGCCTGGCTGGGTGCCTGTGGGAGACAGCTGATCAGGGGTAGGGCACAATCTTGGCTGTGGGAAGACAACTTCTGTTTGTGAACCTTGCAGGTGGAGGAATGGAAAACACAGCCATGACCTGATTGGTACCAAGCCCAGTTGCCATGGAGACTATTCCAAGCATCTTGCTCCAGGCTTCCTTACAGTGTGAAGTGAAGGTGAAAAGGGTGGAGGTTGGAGAGAGGCAGGAAAAACCATACAAAGATGTGGAGAAATAGCAGATCTTGTTAAATGGAACATTATACTTGAGAAATGGAAATTTGAGAAAAGTAGTAGTTGTGTTTGTTAAAAAAAAATATTTTTTTCCCCCAGGTTTATGCCATGGGAGGAAAACACACTGCTAACCAACATAATCAGATAAATCTGAATGATCCCAGGAAATTTTAATGAGTTTCTCCGACACACTGAATACAATAATATTCTTGAGCCTCCTCATCTCCACATGATACACTGGAGTTGCAAACTATTTAAAATGTGTGTTAGCTGAACAATCCTTTTTTTTAGGGAAAACATGTTTGGAAGCCCAAATGTAAAACAGATCAATACAGAACTTCTTTGGCTGAGGCCTGGCTGGTCGTCTGAGGGAAGAGCAAGGAACTCTGGGAAATCAGAGAGCATTGCTCAAAAAATACTGGCCTAAATAAAAACTTAATTAGGAAAGTAAACATGTCAGTAATAATAATGTAAGGCCAAATTAAAATGACTAGCTTATTAGTCATCTCTATTCGTTTCTAATCTCTATTCTAGCTTGTTAAATCTGTTTACTTTTATTAGCACAAATAATTAAATGTTAAATATGTATATTATCCTGCTATAGACAT